GATGTTAACAGAATAAAAAAATATATAAAACTTTCTGATTATTATTTCATATGCCAGACTTTTTTTTTTTTTTGGGAGAATTTTGATGAATGCGTGTGTCGGGTGTTTTGACACTGAAGACTCACCTGTATATCTTCTCACCTGCAGCCTCATCATCATGTCAGGCATATCAGTTATTATGATTCATTATGCGGGAAACTGATGGTTTTTGGAAGAAAAACAGAAGCAGCACCAGTGAGTGTTGAAGCATCGCAGACTCTGCTGGCGGTGGATGGTGGCCCAGGTTTAAAAAAAAGTACACTTCCATAATGTAGCTACTTAAAGTGCTCTATCTTCGCACACTAATATTGTATTTAATATACTAAAAATGATTCTTTAGCACTTCTTAAGATAAGATAATGTAGTCAACTGTGCTTTTTGAGACACCTCGAATATGAACTAAAATGCGCTTTTAACATAGTATCTCTGTATTTAAAAATGTATTTAGTTACCACTTGTAGTACACTTCAACCCATCTTTCATACACTAGTACACTCAAGTGTACTACAAGTAGTGACTAAAAACATTTTTTAAATACAAAGAGAGTATGTTAAAAGCGCATTTTAGTTCATTTTCATGGTGTCCCAAAATAGCACAGTTGAGTACACTTAGATGTCCTTAAGTTTATCTTTAAAAAAATCATTTTTAGTATGTTAAGTACATAATTAGTGTGCGAAAATAGAGCACTTTAAGTACATTATGGAAGTGTACTTTTTTTAACCTGGGTGGTGGACTTTTGCCTTGTACAAATACCCACACTTGTGGTCTTGGCCACTTGAGAGGGCATACGCGACAGGAAGGAAGTGCGCAAGACTGTCCCAGGTCTTAAAAACACCAGAGCGCAGTGCCCTTGATGCACACTAAACCACACTACCTCGAATACTGCTCTGGAGCGCTATTCCAGGCTTAGTGTATCCCATCATGCAACATGTTCTGGAAATAAATCGTGAGACTTTGCCGAGATCTCGCGAGAGGTCACGGAAACTTTTCCAATGTAAGTTAAATATTATTTTAATAGTTAGATATTACAGATAATTTGTTAGAAAAACAAAGTGTTGCACGTTTTATTGGTGCAACGGTTTAAGATGAGTAGTGGTGATATTTATTTTGTACAACATTTGCAACGGCTTTTTATCACTTAATTAGAACCACAAATTAAATTGTGTAATCTCTGTTACAGGGACTACTGAACAGACATTTAGAAGTTGATTTTAAAATGCAAAGTCTTTAAAAATAAAAACCAAGCTATATAAACACTTGCATTTTTACAACACTACGGCCTGTTTTCATGGACAGGGCTTAGCCTAAGCCAGGATTAGGCCATAGTTCAATTAGGACATTTAAGTAATTTTTATAAACATGCCTTATAAAAAAGCATTACTGGTGTGCATCTTAAGACAAAACAAAGGCACTGACATGTTTTAAGATCAGATTTACATTTTAGTCTAGGACTAGGCTTAAGCCTTGGGAGCGCTATTCCAGGCTTAGTGTATCCCATCATGCAACATGTTCTGGAAATAAATCGTGAGACTTTGCCGAGATCTCGCGAGAGGTCACGGAAACTTTTCCAATGTAAGTTAAATATTATTTTAATAGTTAGATATTACAGATAATTTGTTAGAAAAACAAAGTGTTGCACGTTTTATTGGTGCAACGGTTTAAGATGAGTAGTGGTGATATTTATTTTGTACAACATTTGCAACGGCTTTTTATCACTTAATTAGAACCACAAATTAAATTGTGTAATCTGCGGGTGATTGGGTCGGTCCTGTCGACAGCTGCTCTGTTGCTCGGGTGTCAAACCCACCCACAGTATCAGATTCGGTAAACACTTCATAAACACTGTCAGCACCTCACAGCGTCCCACCACTTCATCAAAGACCCTGCATTTTTATACTTGATTCTGTCTGTTTCATACAGGTTTAACATGACCTTTGACCTTTCCACACTCACACTGTCAATTCATTTAGATCTCAATATCCAATACTCTTCACCGATGACCAAAATACAAGCATGATATACTTTATCTACAATACAATATAAGTACAAAAGATACAAATGGTACTTCCATGGTCTTTCTGGGCATGGTACCAAAGAAATATTATTTTTTGGACATGTAGTGCCATGGTATACTTTATCACAGTATTATCTAATACCTTTTCATGAATGTATTGAGAGCAATACTGTAAGGTCTGCAGTGTTAAATATTAGTATTTGTGCAATTCAGATCCGATAAATAGTCTATGGATGGTTCAAATAGCTCACAAATGTTAGACGACTCTTCGTGTACATTAGTGTGTTTGACTTCGAAAGGACTGCTTTTTAATTAGCATTTGTGCAGCACTTTTCCCAATCCGTGAAGATCGATCCAACCCAGTGATGTGACTGGCCGTACAAAACCTCCATAAGATCATGTGTTTGGGAAGTGGAGGAGAAACCTTGAGCTCGCATTGCAAGAAATGTGCATATGCTAACTATCAACTAGTTACAATTCAGCCACAGTAGAAATGTTTTCATCAGGAAACCTCTGTAGTTGCTTTGCTTCCAGTTCTTCCTCTGAAACACGAGGCTCTTTGACTGCGTGCTTCACTCGCTGCGTGTGTACTGTATTTACACCATTAATACGTGGCCAAAAAAGGAGAAACATCAGAGGAATGCAGGCATTTGTTTACAGTGAATGAGTTTCATTGAATGGATTGGTCTAAGGACAGTAACGTAACTGAGGACAAACGTCTGAAACATCCTGTTTTATGATTGTAATTTGTTTGAAATTCATACATGTTATTGGTAGATAGAAAGTGGCACTGTTACTGTTATGGAGACTTAATTGAGTTACCTTTGATGTTAACAGAATAAAAAAATATATAAAACTTTCTGATTATTATTTCATATGCCAGACTTTTTTTTTTTTTTGGGAGAATTTTGATGAATGCGTGTGTCGGGTGTTTTGACACTGAAGACTCACCTGTATATCTTCTCACCTGCAGCCTCATCATCATGTCAGGCATATCAGTTATTATGATTCATTATGCGGGAAACTGATGGTTTTTGGAAGAAAAACAGAAGCAGCACCAGTGAGTGTTGAAGCATCGCAGACTCTGCTGGCGGTGGATGGTGGCCCAGGTTTAAAAAAAAGTACACTTCCATAATGTAGCTACTTAAAGTGCTCTATCTTCGCACACTAATATTGTATTTAATATACTAAAAATGATTCTTTAGCACTTCTTAAGATAAGATAATGTAGTCAACTGTGCTTTTTGAGACACCTCGAATATGAACTAAAATGCGCTTTTAACATAGTATCTCTGTATTTAAAAATGTATTTAGTTACCACTTGTAGTACACTTCAACCCATCTTTCATACACTAGTACACTCAAGTGTACTACAAGTAGTGACTAAAAACATTTTTTAAATACAAAGAGAGTATGTTAAAAGCGCATTTTAGTTCATTTTCATGGTGTCCCAAAATAGCACAGTTGAGCACACTTAGATGTCCTTAAGTTTATCTTTAAAAAAATCATTTTTAGTATGTTAAGTACATAATTAGTGTGCGAAAATAGAGCACTTTAAGTACATTATGGAAGTGTACTTTTTTTAACCTGGGTGGTGGACTTTTGCCTTGTACAAATACCCACACTTGTGGTCTTGGCCACTTGAGAGGGCATACGCGACAGGAAGGAAGTGCGCAAGACTGTCCCAGGTCTTAAAAACACCAGAGCGCAGTGCCCTTGATGCACACTAAACCACACTACCTCGAATACTGCTCTGGAGCGCTATTCCAGGCTTAGTGTATCCCATCATGCAACATGTTCTGGAAATAAATCGTGAGACTTTGCCGAGATCTCGCGAGAGGTCACGGAAACTTTTCCAATGTAAGTTAAATATTATTTTAATAGTTAGATATTACAGATAATTTGTTAGAAAAACAAAGTGTTGCACGTTTTATTGGTGCAACGGTTTAAGATGAGTAGTGGTGATATTTATTTTGTACAACATTTGCAACGGCTTTTTATCACTTAATTAGAACCACAAATTAAATTGTGTAATCTCTGTTACAGGGACTACTGAACAGACATTTAGAAGTTGATTTTAAAATGCAAAGTCTTTAAAAATAAAAACCAAGCTATATAAACACTTGCATTTTTACAACACTACGGCCTGTTTTCATGGACAGGGCTTAGCCTAAGCCAGGATTAGGCCATAGTTCAATTAGGACATTTAAGTAATTTTTATAAACATGCCTTATAAAAAAGCATTACTGGTGTGCATCTTAAGACAAAACAAAGGCACTGACATGTTTTAAGATCAGATTTACATTTTAGTCTAGGACTAGGCTTAAGCCTTGCCTGTGAAACCGGGGGTAAAAGTGTGTCCCATCAGGTAATGAAAAGTTGGACACACACTTGTGGTCATCACACTCACTTGGACACTTGGGCCAAATACAGGAAATACGTCATATTAGTCGTCAAGAGGTCAAGTGCAAAGACTGCGAGAGCAAATACAAGGTTATGAAAGTTACCCCCCACTTTTCTTACTTTCAAGAAGATTTTAAAATCTATATTAAATCTATATCTACCTCCTGTAACAAAAGGCAACTAAAACTTTAAATGCATGCCCACTTTTTGATTTAGTGTCATTTTTATTTGATAATTAATTTATATTTTGAAGGAAGAGTATGTTTATTGTTGTGTGATCTGCTTATTTATTTTATTTTTTTCTCATTTATTTAGAGTTTTTTTCTCTCTTCCACTCAATCTCTTTTGAATTGTAATTGCTATATAGCATAATGTTTGTCCATCCTTGAACCCCTGGCTCTTTTCCTTGGCATATGCTTTCTTACATTTGTATTTTCTAAGCAAGTGTTTAATAATAAACCGCAAGTGTGGGTATTTTTTAGACGAGGCATTTCTCCCCCTGGGAGGAGCGGATGAAGCCCGTTCTTCTGTGCTCCTCTCAGTACACCGGATCGCCTGACAGGTGCGCTGCGCCATCTGTTGCACCGGCGAACATCAGCTCTAGCTCGGCCCTCGGATGCGGTGCGAACAGAGCGCTCGCCGGCGGTCCGCGCTACGCCTTTCCGGGGGAATCCTACTTCTTTAGACGAAGAAACTAATATGTTTAACCTGAACGGTGTCTGATAAAGGCAAGATCACTGGGATACAGCGATATCGCTGCTACCCTGCCGTGTCGCGTTTATCATTATTAACACCGGACTTGGGATCCAGAGGGAATGGCCTCGGTAACATCCATAGAAGCGGTGAAGAGGAAGATCCAGAGCCTGCAGCAGCAGGCGGACGAGGCGGAGGACCGAGCAGAAGCGCTGCAGAGGGAGGTGGACCTGGAGCGGCAGGCCAGGGAGAGAGTGAGTGACCCCAGAAACATTCATATTGTGGGGGATTTGAGGCTCGTGTTCAGCCTGGATGCGGATTCTGGCCTGAGCGACTCTGTTACAGTGATGTTTTATCTCTTTATGTACACTGTTCACTTCTTGTTAACTATTCACTGCAATACCAGTGTCCCTTTATTCCAAACCAACCAGGCAGTCAAGGGGCCTACTGCAGGCCATGTGTACTGTCCTGGATGACTACAGTATCTTTATTAATGGGTCATATATATTAGATGTGGATGGATCTCGGCCAAATATTGTCCTATCCTAACAAACCATACATCAATGGAAAAATTATTTATTCAGCTATTTGATTTTTATAAATCAAAAAATGTACTCTTATAACTGGTTTTGTGGTCCAGGGTCACAAATGTAAGACTGATGTTCCTCATGGTTGGCATCTGTAGTAGTTTTGTAGCGAGTGCTCTGACTTTGAGATGTTCTGTTTTCCTTAAAGGGTTAGTTCACCCAAAAATGAAAATTAGCCCATGTTTTACTCACCCTCAAAGCATCCTAGCTAGGTGTATATGACTTCATCTGCGTCATCAGCCGGAACGGCTTGCACGTATGACAGTCAGCAGAAGTGAGAAAAAAGTGTTTCTTACGATTTAAATATGGATATTTTTCTCACAAAAACGCATGGATTCGCTACAGGAGGCCTTTATTCACCCCCTGGAGCCGTGTGAGGCACTTTTTATTACGGATGCGCGCACTTTATTTGACTACTTTTGTACTGTTGAACAAAAACACCCGCCTACTCCCATTCTAAAGCTTGGAAGAGCGTGGATAATTTTTAATATTACTCCGATTGGATTCGTCTGAAAGAAGAAAGTCATATACACCTAGGTTGCTTTGAGGGCGAGTAAAACACAGGCTAATTTTAATTTTTGGGTGAACTAAACCTTTAAATCAAATCCAAACATTAAGTTCACTTCAAAAACACGTTATCCAAATATCAGTATCAGTTTAAGGTGAAACAGTGCCGAATGAAACAATATTCAGGTGTGATCTACTACACGTGGAGCACAGCAGCGAGTGAAAGCTCCTGAGCTGTCCGATGAACTTGAGCTAATGCGCTGGCCCTGAGAAGAGGATTAGGGGTTATATTGAGGGCAGGTGATGTTGACGATTTAAAGCATCTCTCACTTCAAAATCAACGAGAACGTCCACTATGGTTTCGGACACCACTAAAAATGGCTGTTCCCTCAAATAGTGCCCTATTTAAGGGTATAGGGGGCGATTTCGGACACAGCCAAGCTCTTTCTGTCACATGGACCTGTGAATATGTGATGCAAGTGGTCAATTAAACAGGTGATCATGTGATTTTAGTCCACCTGAATGCAAACACTTGAGTCATCAGCCCACGGGCCCAGACTAAGTTAATCGTTTTGTGTCCTTGTCCTCCGGTACACTCTAAAAAATGCTGGGTCTCTCTCTTTAATGACATTTTGCATGTGTAAGGAGTAATCTGAAAGTAGTCAGAGATGGAATTGCTTAGAAAGTGAGGATAACATTGCGGCTATAGTTACACAAAGTAATGTTGAGGGTGGAAACATTTACCATTTCTGAACCCAGGTTTAATTATAGTTTTCAGCATGTGACTTTATCTGATCTGAGCAATCACAAAAAGGTCATTAATGGGATTTACTTTAAAAATGGACTTTTTCAGTAGGTCAGAACAAATGCGGCAGTTATATTACTTGTTCAGATGTTTTTTCCAAAAATATTTCTATGTATAAAGTCATTTATGTCCAACACTTTATTTGAATGTGATATTTCTACTGAAGACTTCAATTCTGCTCACACACTTTAAATAAATCCAGATTTGGTTTTAGATTTATTAAAAAGCATCTTAAACTTCTTATATGAGGTTTCAGTTGTTTTAGCTATTTTTATATTTTATCCTGCATTTTAACCTTGCAATGAAAATAGCTCTAGAAGCTGGCATGCCTTTAACCCACAAACAAATTAGGCCACCTTTGTACTGAGCAGTGTCGTTTTACTAGAGTATGAAGAAGAACTTCTGTTGTAAAGATGTTATTAACATTAACATATTAATATTAGAATTGCCATTTTTTTTTAATATTGTCTAATAGCTACAGGCATGTTGTTTCGGGGGAATTCTTTAAAATGATAAACAGATCATCCGTTCATTCGTGTTCATTGTGTGCCGTGTTTGGTGACACATTTAAAGGGTTAACATAGTAGTAATAGCATTGCTAGCGTGTAGTTAGCTATTAAAGCTTTGGACAAACAGTTGATAGTGAGCTCAACCCTCTTTACGCAGTGAACTTTGTATTTTTAAAGTTTAACTTTATACCATACTGTGATGCCGTGTCCCGGAGCGATGAGACAAAAACATTAAAACCCATTACAAACAAGGCATTCGTTGCATCTAGTGGGGACATAATTACTGATTATAATGACTTATACTGTCTTTTTACGCGTTGCGTTGCATTGCATCGCGCCGCGTAAACATAAAACTCTGTCTGCATTTGTGATCGGAGAAATGACAAACAACAAGCGCTACTCTACACTGCCCAAACTCGCGTTTGAATCATCAGTGGCAAATTCTTTAAATTAAAATTAACTTTAAATTAAAATTCTTTAAATTAAAATAGACATGTGGGGGCGTGTTAGAACGAGCCGTTTTAGGTAGACGTGGCTGACTCTTAAATTTGATAAAGAATATCTCTTTGGATTTGAGACTTTAGTCTTTGCAACTTTACAGATCTTCTTTATGCACCAAGAGCTTGTAACACTCTAAAGAGAAAGGAAACATTGAAATCGCATCATATGACCCCTTTAATAGTTTTGTGGTGAACAATGGGAAACAGTATTTTACATTGTCACAGTATTTTAGTACAGTGTTCTGCCTGTATGATGGATATTTTTGTTGTGCAATGGATATTAAAGAAGATTTAACATCTTTAAAGACGTTGTTAAAGTCTTAAGATGCACTGTTAAATTTACAGAAGAGACAGTAGTCTCTTACTAGATACTAGAGTGAATGTGTGCAATTGTTGAATGTTTACTTTTAATTGAAAATCATATTTTTGCAGGTTATATCGTAATATACTGTGTAATATTAGAAAATAAAAGCTATTATTATCATTGTTATATAATATTAGCTTAAATTACTAATGCTAAATTTTCTGCATAGCATACATTTTATGTTAATTTTATAGACTTCTATTTGCTCATTGCTATCTGGTTAGGATATGAAAACAACTTTTGTCAATAAAATACGGAAAATAAAAATTATTTGAGAGTTGTACTGATTGCAACAATAAAAGTCTACATTTTTTTTCCCTTTTTTTTTTTTTTTCCAAAAGATCTACTTTTGAGAAAGCATAACAATATGAAGACAGAAAATTTGTGGTTGGAGTCAAAAGTCCTTTATCTTGATGTTCTAGATGTAATTTTGCACTTAATTGGACATTAACCTCAAGATTTTCACATTGCATGTTGCATTCACATTATCCAACAAGTTCAAGTTCCAGATCACATTTGTGACCCTGGACCGCAAAACCAGTCATAAGGGTTTTATACATTAAAACATAAAAGATATTAAAACATATACTTTTAACACATAAAAGATTTATACATCACCTGAAGATACAGGCCGAGATACAACTATTTGAAAATCTGGAATCTGAGGGTGCAACAAAATCTAAATTGTTAAAAAAAAAAAGTTGTCCAAATGAAGTTCTTAGCAATGCATATTACTAATCAAAAATGAAGTTTTAATATATTTACAGTAGGAAATTTACCAAATATCTTCATGGAACATTATCTTTACTTAATATCCTAATGATGTTGGGCATAAAAGAAAAATCAATAATTTTGACCCATACAATGTATTGTTGGCTATTGCTACAAATATACCCCAGCGACTTAAGACTGCTTTTGTGCTCCATGGTCACATTTGTCATCCATGGCATGGTGTGCATTGACTGATTCTCCTGTGATGGCAGGCCGAGGCTGAGGTGGCGTCCCTGAACAGACGTATCCAGCTGGTAGAGGAGGAGTTGGATCGTGCCCAGGAGAGACTCGCCACCGCGCTACAGAAGCTGGAGGAGGCCGAGAAAGCCGCAGATGAGAGCGAGAGGTGTGACCGCGGCTTCTTTAACACTTACACTACACACCTGGGCTTAGTTCACGGGGCAGTTTTTTTATGCATTTGACACGCATCCCTTCAGAAAAAAAGCATGAAATGTATTTTTTCATACCTGTTCAAAGCCAGAGTTTTAGGTAGTTTCAAATAGTTTTTTGTCATTCGAAAGACAAACTTTCCACACTGTAAAGGATCAGCCGTCCGTCCAGAGTTTCATGAGTAAATCCCTTAAACCTGTTTAGACTTGAGTTTGTCTGTTCATGGCATTTCTGAATGTAATACTGACCGTGTGGTCTCTCCGTACAGAGGAATGAAGGTGATAGAGAACAGAGCATCAAAAGATGAGGAGAAGATGGAGATCCAGGAGATGCAGCTGAAGGAGGCCAAACACATCGCTGAGGAGGCTGACCGCAAATATGAGGAGGTGTGCATGTCAGCCAGCCTCACATTATTAAATGGCTGGAGGCTTCTTATAATTAGATGCTTTTCACAGTATATTGAATTATGGCCATGCATAAAAGTTCCAAAAAGGTTCACAATGATGGAATGGAATAACATTATTATTTCTAGATTCAGAAACACTCAGGATTCAGACAAAAGAAAAAGCCAAGTAAGCCCGTAAACTTGCTGAAAATAACGAAGAAATCATTTATTCATGTTTTCTTATATTTCATATTTATTCATTTAAAAGATATATTTATACATAGCATTTATACACAGCATTGGCTTGTGGCCATTTCTTGCAAGTTTGATAGATAGTATCATAGACACCCTGCATGTATATTCCAAGTTTCATATCCAGGTGCAATTTCTGTCAATGTGTCTGATTGATATTTAAGGATATGTAAGCACTTCTACTGAAGAACAAACATGCTGCTTCCTTGATCAAATGGCCACTGAGTTAATATATTTTTTAGTTTTTTTTAGTGTGGAAGATGTGTCACTATACCTAAACCTGAATTTTCCTGCATTATTGTTTATTGGGGATTAACTTCCTCCTTCGTAACTTGGCTTTACAGATCTGTGATTTGTTATTTGACTGTAATTGTAAAATTGGGTCTATTTGTGTGTGTGTGTGTGTGTGTGTGTTTGACTGACTGCAGGTGGCTCGTAAACTGGTGATTCTTGAGGGTGAGCTTGAGCGCTCTGAGGAGCGAGCTGAAGTGGCTGAGGCGTAAGTACATATAATGCATATTAAAAACAGTTTAGTTGAGACTGAACTTTATTGCTTTATTCATAAATAAATAATAATATCAGCTACCTTGTGTGTTAACAGGGGATTCTGTAGTCATTGATATTTGATACTGATACTTTAATTTCAGTAATAAGGGAGCATATTCCTGGATGTTAAAAGTAAAGCCTAGCACTAATATCATGAAAACATGAACGAGCTTAATCAAATTCCTTGCCAAAAATGTGTTAATTGTATTAATTTACTCAGAAACAATGTGTGGAAATTGGAATATGTATACACGATGGTAACAAAAGTGCATTACGTTTGCATGAATAACATGAGCTTAATATGCATGTGTCTGTGTTACCTAAAACAAATTACAAAGCTACATTCAGAAAACTTGTTATTTCCAGGATTCTGTCTGCTGCAAATGCTTTTTATTTTAAAGCTGCAGTCCGTAACTTTTTTTGGTTAAAAATGATCCGAAATCAATATTTGAGCAAGTACATAACCAGTCAGTGTTCAAAACTATCGCCTTACTTTAGCCCGATTCACAACGGTTAGCTTATAATAATGTTTTCGAGTTTGAGTGGTACGGGTAGGTTTTCGCGGGAAATTCGTGCATGCTGCTGCGTCATTACGTCACGTCTGTAAACATAAAGAAATTGTCCCGGCTAGTAGGCTATCGCATGTGAGGATCCTGCAGGTGGTGATCGTTTATAACCTTTTCTCACAGCAGCTGGAGTAATTAAATGTATCATTTTGATGGCGGATTGTAATCCAGAAAGGATTATGTGTTTATGAAACAAATGTGAATGAAATTAAATTATATTCCAGTGTTAAATGTGCTTCTGATTACAGATAGCTCAATGCTGATGTTGTTAACATTAATCATTTGAGAATAAAGTATAACAATAATAATAATTTGAACGGTTTGATGTGATATGAGCTATCTGATCTTTAGATTTAATCACCATTGGTAGCGCGGATTATTGTAATGCTTTTTTCCTCAGTTGGTCAGAACAAACGTGGCAGACTTGTTACTTGTTCAGATGACAATATACGGTGAAAATTCTTATTTGGGTCATATATTCCAAGACGTAGGCTAGAATCTGTGATTGGGAAGTACAGTAAATATCCACACCGGTGCGGTGACTGACTGCCACACATACTCAAAACATTAGATTCATCCACGCTGG